ACTTATACAAGGGAAAGACCCTAGCAATTTAAGAGCCTTCTAGTTTCTTCTAAGACCTAGGAAATCAGCTGGCTTTAATGTTACAGATTAGCTATGCAGCTAAAGGTAGATATGTTACCTTGATACTTGGGTACAAGACTCTTTATAGACACACTGGTGGAGTGGCCTAAGAATACTTTCTCACCCCAAATCCAGGTACTGCACTGACTCAATGCCCTACAACTTGAGGAGCCTACTTTGAGGGATTTATTTACCACAAGCTTCTTGTGGAGCTGCTGGGTAAAAAGGCCAGGGCACGGATGAAGGCTCTGGATGCTGCAGAATGTGCATCACACAGCAGCTCTCTCCATTCTATGTGGGTCATAGAGCCCTTTGTGGACATAGCTATAAGACATGGGAGATAGGACCAGAGGTTAAAGCCATCCCAGCTAAGGCACAAGCCAGTGTGAATGGATGAGTGCGAATTCATGCTCAGGTGACCTGCAGGAATGTAACACTTGGTTAATGCATAGGTCCCAAGAGACATTCCTTAAGCACAGTCAACTGCCGTGTCACCAGTGAGGATACAAGTGGCAGTGAGTTGATTTGAAAGTGTGCTTATCAGTCAGGGCACGATGGGATACATTCGTAATTCCAGGACTGGAGTGGTTCAGACAGGAGAGTTACCGAGTTCTAAGTTATCCTGAGCTATACAGCTAGACTCTACCTTGAATAGAACAGAAAACAAAGTGTTCAGATGAGCATGGACCATCAGAAGAGGGAAGGGACTGTGGGGACAGCATTTTTAGAAAAGATAGGACTGTTTTATCAAGATGAGGCTGTGGCTCAGCTCTGGCTTTGGACTTTGATTTTTCTGGTTCATTGCCATGATTCCATTGCTGTTAGTGACTCCTTCTCCTGTGGCTGTGGTACTCTGCAGACCTACTCTGGGCAGGGGGCTCTCGCCTTTTGCTTACTGCCACCTTCCAGAGCTGCGGACACACAGATAGAGGATTCTTTAATCAGATGGCAGAACATTCTCATTTAGAAGAGCAAGCAGGATCATTAAAGAAAAGCCATGAAAATTTAAGGTAGACATGTAGTACATACTTATAATCTCAGCATGTAGTAGTCTGAGGTAGGAGGTTTGCTGTGTGTTCAAGGCTAGGCTGGACGACATAATGAGTACCAGGCTAGCTAGGGCTACATGGTGAGACCCCCTCTTTTTTCAAAGATCAAAAACAAACAAGAAGTTGACTTAATAGTACTAATAGATACTAAGAAATAGCCCCTAAAGTGGTCTGTGAAGGAACTCGTTTCCCATCTGTCCTCATGACGGAGTGTGTGTGCTGAAGATGCACGGAAATGATAACACATCTTAGGTGTAGTGGGGGGAACTCACGGTTTTATCCAGGAGCCTCTGTGACTCCAAGGAGGCCACTCCACCTTGGGATTCCTTGTCTTCTCGTCTGCCCCCACAGCTGGGGTAGCATCTTCGGGTTGGGGTGGAGTAAAATCAGAAGATACAGCATGAAACTCCTCAGCTAGGATGCCAGCTGTGATGGAGGCTGCCATGACTTCCCTTGACTTGGGATTGGCTTTTTTGAAGGACAGGAAGAAGAGAAGATCTTGGTGGGAAGAAAGAGATGTGCAACCAAGAAATTCAGGAGCAGAGTACAGGATCAATGTGGATGGTGCTACCTTGTCTACAGGGCCTCTTAGAAGCCAAGATTAGGAATAGAGTCCTTTCCTTCCCCCTCATTTATCTGCATATATAGTAAATGAGCCAGGGCATGGACCAGAGGGTAATAACTGTGTAGTCCTGGCAAAATGTGAGGAAAACCTGGCTGGCAGAGATGGGTGCTTCTTGAAAAAAAAAAGAGATAGCTGGAGAGTGGGTGGGGCTGTGCATCCCAGTCTCACTGCAGAGTCACCTCCTGGTTTTAATCAATCCCCCACAAGTCTTCCCTAAACCCGCCTTTGTTTTCATGTGATTTCTTTCCTCTCTTGCTCCAGGGGCCACCTGGGAAGGATGGGCTGGATGGACCACCCGGCCTGCCTGGCTCCAAGGTGGGTCCACACAGGGTGGCATGAGTTTGAGAATCAAAAACCAAAGAGCAAAGGAGGTTCCTGGTAGTTGAGCTCTGAAATGAGTCGCTCGCCTGGGCTTTGGACCAAGGCTTAGTTGAAATGGCTGGGTTTACAAGGTCAGATGTAACAGGGCAACCCAGGAAGGCCCTGAAAGTATTAAAGTCAGTCTGGAGAGAAATCAGTCATGGGAGACTTCAGTTTTTATACAAGTCTCCAGCGGGGATCATTCAAACAGACCTTTGGCGGGGAGAGTCAAGATTAGATCCTAGGAAGTAGGAAATCAAATCTATACTTTAAATGCTTCATGTGAATATTCTTTCATTTTTAAAAAAGAATTTAAACATTTATGTTTTGTCTGCATGTGTGCCTTTTTTCTTTTTCTTTTTTGGTTTTTTGAGATAGAGTTTCTCTGTGTAGTTTTGGTGCCTGTCCTGGATCTCGCTCTGTAGACCAGGCTGGCCTCCCGAGTGCTGGAATTGAAGGCATGCACCACCACTGCCCGGCCATAAACTTTATTCTTAAATTGTAACTGTATATCTGGTCAGATGTGCCTATCCACAGCCCTTGAGAGGGAGCTATAGAAGAAAATTTTTAATATTTTGGTGAAGTTCATTGAACTAGACTCAGGTTTGTTCTCATAACAAATGTAGTATAAGTGTGGATATGGACACATATACATTTATTTGCTTATCTTTGTTGAGCAGAGTAATGGGTTTCAGAAAGACGTTTTTATTCAGGTGTACCATGGGCTTTGACCAGGGTCAGTCCTCCTCTCTCCCTTCTCCTCATTACTCCCATCCCTTCCTCCAGCTGTTTGCTTTCATCCCATATCCACACCCATGATTCTATGTGTCTAGAAAATCTAGGAACCACAAATGAGAGAAAACAATTTTTTTTTCTTTCTTTGTCTGGCCTATTTCATTTAATGCGGTGATCTAATGTTACATCTATTTTCAGCAAATGGCATAATTTCATTTTTCTTTATGGCTGAATAAAGTTGACACACACACATACATATATTCACATTTTCCTTTTTCCATTCATCTGTTGACAAGCACCTGGGCTTGTCATAACAATTCCATAATTTGACTCTTGTGAATGGTACAGTATCTCTGTGGTATGTTGATTTAGAATCCCTGGGATACCACCATTTAAGGTAATTTATGTAAACATTATTTATTCCTCTCCCTGGCTAACTGAGTCCTTCCTATTTTCAAATCAAAGGGTATCGTCACACTTTCTGTAGTCTAAATCTCTCGGAAGGGAAAGAATGCCATTTGTACTCAATCAAACGTTTTAAGTAACTGAGCTAGGGAGTATGGGATATAGGATGTGCCCTGCATTTAGAGTGCCAGAAAGAATGAGAGTTCAGAATCGCCTATACACAGATGGCCCTGTTCCCGACCCATCCACATCCAGCAATGGGTGTCTTCAACCACATTAGGTCCCTTTGGTGTTGACTCTGCATTGTCTTCCCACAGGGAGCACCAGGGGACCCTGGGGAGAGTGGAGTGCCTGGAATGCCTGGACCTCGGGTATGACTCTTCCCATTCATATTATATCTGTGCCTCCAGTTGGGGTTGTGTGACTGTATGGGTAACTTTCTTCATCTGGGTGTGTCACTGGGGGCCTCAATAGAAGTGTGAAGATGATTGGCAAAGAGCAAGTTAACTGGCTTGGCAGATCCATGGGGCTTCATTGGGATCCCCAGTCTGGACACAGCAGAACCAAGGTCACCTCTTGGGGAAAAGTGCTAGGGGATGGCGTGGTCCTGCTAGAGAGACTTGCTTGCAGAGGGGAGGCCTCAAGGAATGTTGCAGACCTGGGAAAAAGACATTACATCCACCGACTTGTTTGTCTGGCTAAGGAATAAGCAAGGAGACAGGGACAATTCACTTCCTCCTTCTCTTCCTCCCCGTATTTCTGTCTTTCTTCCCTTAGTTTTCCCTCCCACGACCTCTGGTGTCTGGGCCCATTCATAAACGCAGTGGCAGAGAAGTCCAGCTAGGGTACTGCAAGTTCCTCACCCACTGGGCTGCCAGCAGATGGGGCAGCATGAGGCTTGACTGGGGAAGCAGGCCACTTAGCCTATGATTGGCAGGACACTGCCGTGAAAGTGGACAGTCCAGTGCCTTGTGGCAATGGCTTTCAATCCTTGCCTGGGTTCCTCACTGTGGACTCTCCTGGTGGGCTGCAGGATCTTGCTTCCCAAAGCCTGCAGCTCAAAAAATCCCAGCCCAGTTAGGGCACAGAATAGTCAACCCAGAAGAGGGGAGAGCTATACCCTGATGTGCATTTACGCATATTGCTAACTTCTCATTCTGAGGGACATTGTAGCCAGCCAGACTGTGTTAGGAGAACTGCCCCTCCACCCTCCATCTGCTCCACAGTGTGTGTGCTGTTTAAACACAGTGGCTGACACGCTGTCTCCCAGCTCTATAGTGTCCCCTTCCAGCCCACAATCAGGAGCAGTGTGGATCCTACATAAGCACATGCAGAATATGGAGGGGTTTAATCATTCAGCCAGTTAGAGTACAGAGTGGCCTGGACTGTAGATGGTACTGACAGGGACTGAGCCAGGGGAAAGCCTATCAGGTCACCTTGTGGATGGCCACTGATCAAATTCAGTGTGCACTTGAGTGGCGTTCATAGTTGCCAGCCACACTGTGTCGCGTATTCTTCCTCGGCTCCACCCAGGAAGCCATTCACACAGCAGATGAGTCCATCCCAGCTGAATCCAACTGAAAACTTGAGTGGCGAAAAATTGGCACAGCTCTGTTTAGGGCAGTTTTTACGAGATGTGCTGTAAACGTGGGGGTATTGATGGGTACTGGAGGAGGCATAGAGGATTTCAGAGTGTGCTAACTCCGTATGTTGGATCATTTCATGGAACCAGATCTCCAGGCTGAGACGGATGTGTACACTAAACACGCATTGGTTTTCCTCATCCCCACTGCCTTCCTGGTCTTCCTTTCCCTCTCCTGTATCTCCCTCCTCTTTTTCCGCAATCTTTTCTTTGCCTTCCTCTCTGATAAACCTTTACTACCAGTTAGTTGCCTTGGCCCAGCTCCGGGAAAAATCCACATCACCAACTGGTTCAATCTTTCATTCATGTGTCTACGCATCAGAAAACCACATTTCCTATGGATATGTATACTGAGGCTTTTTATTAAATAGTGTGACAGATACTAAGCATAGATTTCCTTTGAAGGAATTGGTGATTTTTAAGACCTATAGTTAGAAACCAACCTGCCATGCACCTGTTCTTGCAAGGGCCTGCTGACACAGCCTTGGGATGGGGCCCTTCTGATCCCTTCTCTCATGTCAGCCTGCCTGCTTAGTGCTAGTAGGAGATATGTCTCAATTCTTTGGTATGTTATGACAAACTACTGCAGGCTAGGTGATTTAAAAACAGTAGAAATTTGTTGTTCACAGTTCTGGAGGCTGGGAAGTTCAAGGTCCAGGTGTGGGAGGTTTGGAGGCTGCCAGACTCTTTTCTGCTTTACAGATGATCCTTATATCTCTAGATGCTATGGTGGCACCAGAGGTACAGGATAAGATGGACACTTACAGGATAGCAGTCTCTGTGTCAGAAGAGACCAGTGGGCTCACCCAAGCATTTTTTTTGTAAAGGCATGAATCCCATTCATGAAAAATCGACCGTCATGACTGATCACCTCTCAAAGGCCCCGCCCCATAGTAATTTACTGAATAGTATGTCTTAATATATACTTTTTAGGGAGAGCATTCAGACCACAGCAGAAATGTTATGGATGAGAACAAAGTTGACAAGGGACAAGAACTCATGTGAACCTCTTCAGGGCACACTTTCTCCTAGAAACTTGGGTTCTTTAACAGAAATAGTCTCCCAGGATGCTCCCCCATTGTAACACATTTGGGAAAAGAAGAAATTCAACTCTTCCCTGCTTCTGAGCACGGGGGACTGCCTGCTTTTATGAAAAGATAGAACAATAACCAGGATCCCTGAGTCATAGGGACACATTCTGCCCCAGCTTCTTCTTCATTTGTGAGCCAAGAGTGGGGGTCTCAGGCTCCCTGATGTGTCTGAGACCTGGAGTTGGGGGCGGGGGTAGGTCCATGAGTCCTAGGTATGGGCTCCTTGATGGTTTGAATTGCAAATGCTTGGCTTCTTGATGAGCAGACACAATGTGCATGAGCTCTGGACATGACAAGAGTTGGTTTTTGGTTGAGGGGAAGCAGAAGGCAGGATGAGGGAACGGGAAACACAACGCTGTAGAAATAAAGAATACTTTGACTTCATGCCTCGGGGTCTCTGGGACTTAATGTTCCTTCTCAGAGAGCCCAGAGCGGTGGCTTGCAGGTACTGTGGTTGTGTGGGTCTAACTGAGGAATGACAGCCATGTTTGAAGGTGTGCACAGAAGATGATGGAGCTCTGTTACTCTGTCTACAGGGTGAAGTCGGGGAGCGGGGCCTTGCAGGTCTACCCGGTGAAAAGGTTGGTTTATTTGTTCAACTCATTCTTTTAACTAAAGAATCATCATTATACATTATATCTTAGATAAACATTTTCAACTTTAAAGAAGAATCTTGTCTTTTGAAAGTTCATTACAGTTATTGCATGCCTTCATTTGTTTGATTAGTAGGTTTCAGTGTGGCCTATGCCTCAGTAGTTGTCTTGAGCATTAGAGCCCAGTTAGGAACTTCGAGAAGATACAAGAACAGTTGAACAGGGTAGTGAGGGAGACATGCCACCCTAAGGAGGGGGCCAGGGATGTCATGAAGGATGGTGAAGGAAGGGCTGACATTGTGGCTGAGTCCTAAAAGGATGGAGAAGTCAGATACCCAGAGAGGTAGGATGAGGGTTCCTGAGAGAGGAAATGACCCAAGCAGGAAGGAGCTTGGGGTACCCTAAAACAGATTCTCTGGAATTTCCCTTTGTGCAAGGCTCTACTTTCCATGTCACTAAGCTCGAAATCTACGAGGAGACATAAAGCATGTGACCCAGGGCCTCTTTCACAGGGAGAACCTCCCACTGTTACCTACTGGTTTTGTTCTCATAGGGGGAAGTTGGCCTTCCAGGTTCTCCGGGCTTCCCAGGAGTGCGTGGAGAGAAAGGAGACCAGGTAAGTGTGACTGCCTCTTCCCACCAGGGCTACTGGGCACTGTGATTGTGCCCAAGGAGAGAGGGCCACTTCTGGAGTCTAAGACCTTTGGGATGAGGTGTTGATTTTGACTGGGAGAATAGAATAATTCCCAGTGTTGAGGGGGGAGAAATGAACAGAGATCAGAGTCTAGATTCCCTTAAGCGGAGATGAAAGGACTGTTGGGGAGACACCTCTGGGAAGAGCAGGGCATCTTCAGAGGAAATGAGGGATGTGAGACACCGAAGTCATGAGTCAGCTGCTTCAAGAGCCTGCTTGGAGTCAGGCTTCACTGTGGCAATGAGGCAAGGACAGTGATGAAGGATGGGGAACAGGTGTGAACGCACAGCCCCATTGCCCAAGGCCAAAGTGCCCTTACCTTGACAGGCAGTGGTTAGCATTGCTTTGGGTTCTAAGGCTTCTGAATTGTATTTTTTTTTTATTTTAGGGAGAAAAAAGGTGAACTGGGACTTCCTGGGCTAAAAGGTGCCCAAGGTGAAAAGGTAGGAGCTGCCTGCTTTCATCCTCATTACAAACTTTCCTAGCTGATTTCCAGAGGAGAGAGGGGAAAGAGAGAGAGAGGACAGAGAGTGAGTTTTACAGGATGCATTTGTATTGCTCCAAAGCATGTTTCTGAGTAACCCTGACACACAGAAGCATTGTTACTCTGTTTTAAGGATCTGTCAACACTGACATTCTTTTTTCCCCCAAGAAAGCCTCTGGCTAGATAGGGAAGGGATCTTATGCTCTTTGGGGCAGTTTAGAATGTCATTTCTCCACCCAGGACCAGAGTAGGACCCAGAACTCACTCTGACCAGTTGTCAAAGTCCTTCAGTTTCAGTTCCTGGTGTCACAAGCTGCTGATCATGAAGGAAGGAAATTCATTCATCCACATTGACCTCCAATCCCACTGATATTTGACCAACTTCCTCCCAGTAGACTCACAGAGTGATTGCTGTGGGATGTTCTGTATGCTGTGGGTGTGTTTCTCTGATTGGTTGATAAATAAAACACTGATTGGCCCATAGCCAGGCAGGAAGTATAGGTGGGATAAACAGACAAGGAGAATTCTGGGAAGAGAAAGGCTGAGTCAAGAGATGCCAGCCTGCCGTCCAGGGAACAGCATGTAATGGCACACAGGTAAAGCCACAGAACACATGGCAACATACAGATTAACAGAAATGGGCGGAGTTTAAGCATAAGAGCTAGTCAGTAGTAAGCCCGAGCTAGTCAGTAGTAAGCCTGAGTTAATGGCCAGGCAGTTTTAATTAATATAAGCCTCTGTGTGTTTACTTGGGGAGTGCAAGTGGGAGAGATTTGTCCCGACTGTCGGCAGGCCAGGACACAGGAAATCTTTCAGCTACAAGTGATGGCGTGTAGAGCTGACTTCTTGGTTCCAGGGGTCAGCGATGCTTAGAGGCCTGTAGTCTCCTTTCTCCCAAAAGGTGTCTGCTCTGACATTGCACTTTCCACACTTCATTTTCAGCTTGCCTTCTGCCTTTCCCATTCCTTGACTTCAGCCATGTTGACAGCATGGCCCTGGGTGAGGCTCTGCAAGTCTGCTGATTTCTTAATGTCTAAGAAATAGCTCTCACTTCAAATGAATAAGAGATAGTTTGTCCTGGCATGAAATACGAGCAACCATGACCTGGGAACACAGATTTAGGTCACCCCGAATACTGTGTTTCCCACGAGGTAGGGATTTCACAAAGGTTTAGTGGAAACAGAACAAAGGAGGTCAGATGTGAAGATGCTTTCCAGATACACCAGTGGAAACATCAGATGAAGGGTTTGCAGCAGAGTGGGGGAAACTTCTGTTGCAGGCCGCAGATGTTACATGATGACACTCTTAGCTTTTGGGTTAGTGGAAGCTAGTACTGTGTGTTAATACATTTCAAAAGGTTTCCCTGACAGCCACGGATTGTTAGATCGGACACGGGTGGGAAAGGGATGGCTCCTGCAACATTCCAGCAATGAGGAATTCACAAAGTCCTCATTTGAAGTCCTCATCAGTTAATCAGCCATGGAAGGTTCTGGAAAAGATGCCGCTTCTTTCCAGGAACTTATGTTCAAACTTGGATTCTCAGAAATGCAATTTCTATTAGAGATACTCCTTTCCAGAATACAGAGGCTTAGGGAGACCACAAAGCTGTAATTGTTTTGGCAGAATTGCATGTAGGCTGCTAAAGAATCTGGGTCACGTTAGGTTCCCTAGAGATTTGGGTAATACGTGTAAAATAAGACACTAAGGTAACACTGCCCCTCTCTGACTGGGCTTTGCAAGTCCCTGCTTCAGCCTTGCCTTCCATTGATGCATTCCTATTCCTGGTCCTTTTGCCCTGTACTTAGCACCTTGGAACTGGGGATGGTAATTCTTCTTGTCAAGGGCGACTGAGAGCTGAAAACACACAGAGAAGCAGGATTGGAATCCAGACCTATCAATGTCAAAGTCATCTCAAACCTATGGCTTTTCTGAAGTCAAGCCTCTCACTCAAAGTTGGAGAGCCTCCCTTCTGCAACCCGCCCTACTGACCACCATTCTTCTTGTACAGATCCGGGGATGGACAAGGAGACTTCTGCCAAGGCATCCTGTGTCCTCTGCTTTAGACACCTCTTCCTGCCTCTCTCTCCATTTGCACCCATTTGTGTGTTTGTCCACAGCCCCCACAAGGAAGCGTTGGGTTTAGATCCCTTGGCTTTGTTAATGGCAGGATGATAGGGTAGGCATGATCGTCTCCAGAGCTCTAGAACATGGACTTGCCCTATGAGGAAGGAGGCAGAGAAGTCAGTCATCCCATGACTCTCGGGGAGGTGCTCCTGGAATTTCTGCCATGTCAGTCCAAGTGAAAAGCTGGGTTCTGAGTGTGAAACCGGCTGCTTGTCTGGCTGCTCGCCTGTGTTTGTGGAGCAGGGCTGAGGCTTTTGGGTCTTGGGGTCTTTATTTTTACAACACAGAGGAAATCACATTAACAATAATAAATCAGACTTAGAAAGACAAATATCATATGCTTCCTCTCATATGTGACATCTAGATTTTATAAAATGTGTATGTGGGTGACATATGATGAGGTGAATATATATGACATTAAAGTAAAGGTAGGCTATTTGGATAAGGAAGGGAACCATCAGGAGGATGGGGTTCAGGAGCAGAGTGCACCATATATTTATTATATAAATACATGAAAATTTTATTAGGAAACCAATCATTTTGCATACATGAAAAACTGAAAATATAAATACTTTGTGGACCTACCTACAGAGATAAATCAGTTCACAAAGGTGAGATCCATAAGTTAGAATGTACTTTGTAACAGAAGAAACAAGCAAAGGAACCCTGCCTTTTTAGTGCTTATGGATATGGTAGAATTGAGTTTCAAGTTCAACTGAATCAGCTCCCAAACTTGTGCTGTTATGGTAACAGCCCTGGTATATGTAAGGATATATGCATATGAGAGGAACCTGCCTCTTCAGAGGGGCTTGGGCAGCTCTTGGGGTATCTCCAAGGGGACTAGACTTCAGTGTGGCTACTGAGCTAAAGCACATGTGTGGGAGCATTCGCTATAACAGGTCAAACACTGCCTTTGATGGCAGCAGTAGAAACAAATTCAGTATCCTCACTATTATTTCAAAATTCTAGAGTGATACATGGTACTTAGTTAACCCGTAGATACACAGGTCAGTCTAGATACTTTAAAATACATGTCTGAGATATTTTATAATTTAGAGTGTATATGTGTATCTGTCTGCCTATCCCCCCATGTCCTGGCCCACCTAACTATAATCTATCAAAGTCTGTCCAGGGAGAATAGTTCTGTTTTCTGGGGGGGATGTGTTATTATAGACCTTTTCTGGCATAAGCAGAATCGACAGGATTAAGATCATGTTTTTTTCATTTCTTCTAGGGTGAGGCTGGTCCAGCAGGGCCCCCTGGCTTACCTGGAAGTGTAAGTTACTCTGACCCTAATCTTATCCCCTCTTCTGAATTCTCAAGGTTCCCTCTACACCCACACTTGTGCATGTGTGCATGCACACACAACACACACACCCCTCACCACTTAGTTATTAATATGCTCTGATAAGTTCACCATTAGCTAGGAAGCTCTTCCTTGTTTTATTCACTTTATTCAACAAAAGCACAATTACTGTTCACCAGAATATATCATAGACACTGAGAATACATATCCATCCATACATACAGGGAAGCTGAGATTTGGGGACAAGAAGCCATTTGCTCAGGGTAGGGCCACAGTATCATAACCTAGGATTCCTCTCCCACCTTCCACAGACATTTTCAGTGTCTAGGGATTTTCAAGGCTGTCTGATGACATTCTTAGCTTTTCATTTGGTGGTCTGTTAATATATTCCAATAGATTCTTGCCTAATAGTGGGTAAAGTTTTAGGTCAGGTACAGCAGTGAACATGAATGGCTGTGAAGGGAGGAAAGACAGCAAAAGATTCTGTATTGGCAACATTCCACTTTCCCATGATCACAAAGGTCTGATCAGAACCTGTTAGCATATTTAGCGTAGATGTAGCTTTTATCTGGGATCTTTAATTTATACTAATAAATATAAGATGTCCACTTTAGTTATCAATTACCTGATTCCCAAGAATTCTGCAATGGGCCTGGTTTTGGAATTATTTTTTATTTCAATATTGCTTCTGCTTTTTGTGATTCTGTTTGGGCAGTTGACAGAGACATTGCATGTGGCTCCATTTGCAAGTCCTGGCAGGCCTGGAGGCAGATTCCCCCTCTGGCTGGAACCAGGTTTTAGCCTTTTCCCTCTACCAGCACCAGTGTCCTGGGGGAAATCAAATTTCTTGAGGGGTTTGTTCATAGGGCGGGTACCAATGTCTTTCTTTAGAATATATTCTTTCCTGCCAGGATGGCTACATTTATCTAAAAACTAGTGTTGCTTATAATGATGACAAATTACAAAATATCTACATGACTATAACTTAGGATTAAGTAAGTCGTGGAATATCCATATGACAAAACCCAATTTTATACAACATGCACATAGGCACACATATCCTTGCATACACACACTTACACAACCCCATAGACATATAAACATACACACACACACACACACACACACACACACACACACACATGCATACAAATACACTCATGCTTACCCATGAACACAAACACACTCTGCGGACTTGAAATTTTATGGATAAACACACTAAATTGAACAAGCTTAAGCAGGAAAACCAATTTGTGAATCATTGGTTGTTGAAGGATTGAGAGCAAAGGCTTCCATCCTCTGTGTGGATATCAGTTTCTGACCCTACATGGTCTTCTTCCTCACATGCCTCCAGGAAGCTCATGTCTCTGTCCTTAAAGCATGGCAGAGGCAGATCACCACCTGTCACCGGCTGGTGATCATCCCTTGGTCCATGTGATCGACTATTAATAATGTACTCAGGTTTACTATTCATATACTTCTTGCACAAAATGCTGTCCTTCCACATCTTCATAGTTGCTTGTAAACATTCACGTGGGCTCTAATGTGTGAAACAAAACATTGGTTGAGCTGGGAGGAGTCTGGAACTGGAGACTTGAAGGGAAAGAGAGGAAGCTATGTTTTATCTTTTGTGGTGGATCTTCGTTTCCTCAGCCTACTCATTTTGTCGCTCAGGCTTTGGCTCTGGACCAACCACTGGCAGGTCTCAGGCCTCACAGAGAACATGTAGGCTCCTAGAAGAAGGAAATTAAGGTGTACAAATAGGAAAAGCAGTCAAATTATCCATATTTGCTGATGATATATTTTACATAAAACATCAAGTAGGTTGCCCATACCCTAGCGGACAACTCCATACCATGTACATATGGACAGCACTAATACTCAGTAGGCCATTAAAAAAAGAGGACATGGAACTGGGAGGGAGGGACATACGATGGAGCATTTGGGGATAGTTGGAGGGAGGGAGTGGGGAATGGATGTGATCAAGATACATGGCACACATAGATTCATATTTTGAAGAATGTATAAAAAATACTAATACCCCTCCTCCCCCCCAGAAAAGACAGATATAAAAAAGGCACTTCAAGGCTGTGCTCTTTGGCTCAGTAAATCTCTTAGAGGCAGCAGGATTTTAAAAACGAAATGGAAGGCGCCTTAGATTCTGAACCTTCTAACCCGTGTGGTTTCCTTTTCAGCCATCCATGTTCACACCACACCCGAGAATGCCAGTAAGTACCAGTGAGCCCTGGATGCAGCCCTGAGCCTCAGCACATCTGCTGGTGCTGTGGGGGTGGGGGTGGGGTGGGGGGTGACCATGGCAGTTGGAGTTTTCTGGATTCCATTCTCAGTCCTTCATGCTGGGTGTAGGCAGCATCAGGGTTTCTAGAGCTTGTTCCAGCAAACGTAGGGATACATTATTACAAGAACCTGGTTCTCATGGCCAGTAGGCATTCTCGGGACATAGCTCAGGGGTCAAGAGCAAAGGCCATACTCTCTGAGTAGAATTTATTTTTGCTGTGGCCAGAACTGCTGATTGCTTTGAAATGAAGGATATCTGAGCCGCCAAAACATTCTCTGTCAATGTTGGCAGTAAAGAGATCAGCGATGGGAACACTTCAAACCCCTGAAGTTGTGTTGCTCCATAGAGACAATTTTCAGAATATTCCATTCAGGCTGCTTGGGGAGTCTTAGCTTCAGTGGCTTCCTGCAGATACTGAGACACGCAACAGAAAGGTGGAAATCAGCTCCACAGCCTGCAGACTGATGGCCCGTTTCCTCCTTCTTCCATGAAGTCCTCTGGAAAATAACTCTTTTCAGAATCTCTTTATGCAACTGGCAATACTGAGGCCAGGAAATGTTATTTTGATGACACACTACCACCACCACCACCACCACCACCACCACCACCACCACCACCACCACCACCCCACCACCCCACCACCCCACCACCCCACCACCCCACCACCCCATACCACCCTCCTCTTTTTAATACAGGGTCTCACCTTGTAACCTTGGTTGATCTGTAACTCACTGTGGAGACCAGGGTGGCTTCAAATGCAGAGATCCTCCTGCCTCTGCCTCCTGAGTGCTTGGATGAAAGGCCACCATGCCTGGCTCCTCTCCTTCTTTTGTGGTTCTTCTCTCATTATGATATATTCTGTGTTTTACAACACAGGAGAGCTGAGAGGGTGGAGTAGAAAGACATACAGTCTCCATTTCTTCAATAAGTCGATGCAACTTCAAAGACACAGATCTTGTATCTGATAGAAAGGTGTGGAGCCGGGGAACGCTGAGTCTGATGCTGAAGTTTTTGAAGAATAAGGAAGGACATTAAGCTTTGAACTTGAGACGGGGAAGGAAGTGCAGGGGGCCCATCTCCATGTCACCTGGATTTCAGGGGTTGTCAGGAGATGTCTGTCAGCTATAGCAGCTGCCTATAGTGATGTCTTCATCTGTCTTGGTGTTTCAAGGCTCATTTCCCATATACAGGCAGGCTGCCCACCTCACCACCTCCCTCCCTGCACACCTCTGCCATCTATTAATTGAACGCCTCCTTCTGAACCCTCCCATTTCCCCCTATTGGATGCACCCGAGTCTGGGGAATTAAAGCTAGTCTATAGATGCTCCATAAAGCAATGTCTAGAATATTTCACTGGAAGAGCAACTAAGGAGACAGGTGGAAGAGTGTGCTGCACTTTGTGTCTCAGTGGGGCGTCCTTCTTTCAGAATGTGTGCTTTTAAGGAAGTCAGTAGCCACTCTTAGAATCAAAGCAAGGAAATTACATCTATAGAAAAATTTCTGCATTTTGAGGCAAAGGCTTCCTCCCTTTTCCTGTTTGTCAAGAGCTGAATCTGCTCAGCAAATATCTCTCCACGTCTCCTTCAAGAAAGAGATTGACTTTGAAAGACCTCGCTCTGCATTGCGTTCATGGATGAGCTCTTCTGTACAATAAGTTAGGATCACTCTGAGGCACAGGAAGGAGAGGGAAGAGCACCAAACCCAGCCAACAGGAACATCTTTGGATGTGGTTACCATAGAAGGGATCCTGGTGTCAATGCTGAGGGGTGGAGCAATGTGCTAGAAGCATTAGATGGGGTCATTCTCGAGTCACCTGTACCATGTGTTTCTAACCCACAGGGAGAGCAAGGGCCGAAAGGAGAAAAGGGTGACCCTGGTGACCCTGGTGCTCTGGTGAGTATCTATACCCCAGATACTGCTTACCATTCCCCAAGTTCCCTGAAGACCAGGAGTCCAGGCCTAGCTGGCTCTAGGTCTGAACCCCACTGGCCACACTACACACTGGAGGATTAGTAAACTGAATATATCCTGTTTTAGTCCTCAGAACTTCGGTATTAGTTCTTCTGTGGATTTCAGATTACAACCATTGCACATCCCCGCACACAGCCCCATCTGCTCAGAACAAAGGTGCTGAGCTAGTTCACCAGCATAGTTTTCTTTCATTGCAGGGACCCCAGGGTCATCCTGGAGAATTGGGCCCTCGAGGACCCACTGGACCTCCGGTAAGAGAGCTCTTTGTCTACCTCTTAGTTCCTGGCCCATGCTGCCCCTGGTCATGTATTCCTTCCTGTCTTACTCGCCAGTCTTCTGACTTGACATTTTGTGAATTCTTACTAGGGTGTATGTGGGGGTATTGGAGACATGGGTTGTGGAATCCCCAGAACTAAGGGTCTCAGCATCTTGCAAAGTTGCCCCCCGCCCCCCAAAGCAACTACCTGGACCAGGCGCTGGGATGCTAGTTGTCCCTGCCCTTCCACTAAAAGTCAGCTGTGGCCGAGGAGAGCTCCCTTAGACTCAGAGTGTTCTGGAGACAGGTTGCCCAGGAAGCAGGGTTTCTCTCGATGTCCTGTGTATTTTGAGATGCAGGGCTTCTTCTCCCCAGCCATTGTTGGACAAGCAGGTTAATAAGATGCCTGGGACATATTAGCAATTTTATTTTATTTTTCTGGTATAGTTTGGGCTGAGAGGATATTTCCTGACAATTGTTCAGTTATTTTGGGGAGGGGGGAAGGGACCCTATATGGTTTGGAAGAACCTATTAGTTGTTTAAAACCCCCGAGGTCACGGCTGTCTAACTCTGTGTACCTCATTTACATAATGGGTCAATGATGATAAATACATGATTTTAGGGGAAGTGATGGAGGTGTGCTGGGCCAGGGAATGGTGGCTTTTCTGCACCTGATAGAACCTGTTTTCTGTTCTATCTTTGTTTTGGTGAGTCAGGTTTGGACAGCAGGCTAGCACTATACAAGATGGCAGGCCTCTGACCCACCTCCTTTTTTATTTTTCCTGCATAGGGTGCCAAGGGACATGATGGTGCACATGGAGCTCCTGGAGCAGCTGGAAACCCTGTAAGTCCTTCTGCCCTACCCTACTTCTGAGGACTTCCTAGAAGGGGGGCAGATGAGCATCTTTTCCCTGGCTCATAGTTCCGGACTAACTGGGATGTAGCTAAGAAAGAAAATTCATACTTGTGGGGCTATCCAGACCTGGGCGGGGTGGCATTTGAACCTGAAGCAAAATGGGAGCTGTTCTGGTCTGCACAGTGTTTCTATCAGGTCTGGACTTTGTCCACATGTCCAACCCCGAGACACATTTCCTCCTGTACATATGGGTGCTACAGAGGCACAATCCCAGTGCAAGCCCATGCTGTATCTGCATGCCCATCAGTGAGAGAAATCTTCGGTGCACATAGAGGACACTCAAAGGATCTTCATGCACAAAGAGGATCATTCCAAGATGTTTGCCATTATGAGAATTGTCAGGGTTCACAGCCATGTATACACATTCTAAGGATAAAGATCTTTATTTTTAAGTGTTTTTCTATTTCTCTCTTTCTGTGTGTCTCTGTATCCCTCTCTCTGTGTTTCTCTATGCCTGTCTTCATATCTCTCTCTCTCTCTCTCTCTCTCTCTCTCTCTCTCTCTCTCTCTCTCTC